AGAGAACATAAGTGTTTCTTAATTTTACATTTGGAGAAAACACAATACTATGTGGACATTCTCCAACATATTTTTTAATGTTATTAACAGAAATAGCACCCCAGGCTGTGCTCAAGCAGAAAAACTGTGAATCTGTTTGCAATGTGAAGTGAAAAGGGATCAAAAATACCATCTTATTAAATGGTATTTATTTGGTGCTAAGCGTGTTATTTATTCTGTTGAGAAATTCACAAAATGACAGAGTTAACTGCAAGTAAGGGCACTACTTAATGTCAGTATCAAAGCTGATCCTTAACAGAATTTAAGCACCTGACTTTTCTTTTATCTCAGCACAAAAAGATTTTCTTTTTTTTTTTCTTTTTTACACTTCAAAAACCACGTAACACAACAAAATATATGCCAAGCATGAAGGAACAGAAAGCATGCCAGCATCTTTCAGCAATCATCCTTCCCTTGTCATCCATTATGTCAGATCTATCTATTTTTCGCTTAATTCTTGTTCCAGCCATACGCATCCTTCCTCTCTCTAGACTATCAGGCTGGCTGGGCTTGAACTCAATATGGCTTCTTAAAATAGCTGAAAAATATTGAAAATATTTGAAGTGATGCTTGTAAATTACAGCCTATTCATCAACGCATCTTCTAGCTCCAGCTAGACCTCTGACTCCCCCAGAAAAGGGTCAATCTCTGATTTCTTCACCTCAGAAATTCTTCCCAACCGCACAGTGTAAGTATCATTTAAAAAATAAATAGCCTTTCTTTCATGGAAGCATTTTTCCCCAGAAAGCTTAGATCCTGTATTTATTGCAAATCTTATCCTCTGCTTGTTCTGACGCTTACTTGCTTTTGATCCAAACCTCCCTCTACTAAAAATTACTGTCAGTTAACTTGTCGCTGCTTGCTTTATGCTGTTGATGCTTTTTCCCCCTGCCGCGAGTTTTCAGACCCCCTGGACTGGCTTTACAGGACACCAGATCCACCTGAACGCTCTCCCTGCATCCTTCACCCCCCTGGCTGCTGACTGGGAGAGCCTGCTCTCTCCACCCCCAGGATCTGTAACATGTTTCAATGGTATCTTTCCCCACTGCTTTATGTGTTTACGTAAATGAATGGACTCTAACGAGTTCCAGTTCTTTAGGTGGAAAAAGACACGATCAGAAATACACACGCTGAAAGGAAAAAGCATCTATCATCACTGTATTCCCTTACTGCCTACGTAGCACCGATCACAGAATTTTCTCAGCTGGCTGCTGAATCAGACGAAGTTTCTACGGCGCACACACACAAAATCACGAAGCCTGACACGTCCAGTAGGATTTATTCAATCACAAAGTCATCACCGTTGGTCCAGCACATATGACATCACTCGGGAACCCAACCTCATCTACTGAGAGTGTGCCCTCCTGCAACAAAGAACTGGGTTTGTGCAATAAAAAGGTAAAAGCATTGCTGCAAAAAGTTTTCCAAATAAACTTATGTTTTCTTGAGATGTTAAGTGTGATTAAAGAAAGAAAAATTAAGGGCTATGGTAAGAAGTCGGTACAGTGAATTATTACTGAACTAACTAACCTGCATCTGCAGTTTATTCTAAAACTTGTACCTAGCAATTAGAGGCAATACCAAGAGGAGGATAAAATGCATCCGTAAGCCCTTGCAGGTGCTGCTCTGGGAAGATCATACGCTGCATTAACCAAAAACATTTAAATACTTTGCTTGCACAAGTGGACTGAAAACAGATAAGTCGAGCTCTGCAGTTTTCTTCGTGCTTGTGTTAAGACGCTTGAAAAATGGTTCGTAGGAAATAAAAACGACGAATAATTGATTAACAATACCTCTTGCAAAAGGACACTTTTCCTGGGGAAGGACCACACAAAGGATTTGCACACATCGCGACCGCAATCCCCCCCCTCTTTTCTCCGGAAGGCACTTCTCTGTCGCGACGGCTGACGTATTATCGCGATTCCCGCCGTGTATTTGATACCAAGGGAAAGGCATTTAAAGCTCCAGGTGCCGGCGTTGCAGGAGGGGCCTGGGCGGGCTGCCTGCTCCCCCCATCCCCTCACAAGGACGACCCGGGGGGGGGGGGGGGCCGGGGCCGCTCCCGGGTGGCGGCGAGAAGGACGGGACCGCGGGGACGGTCCCGCAGCACTGTCGCGACAGAGGGAAGGTCGCGACAGCGGGGATACCTCAGAGGGTGGGGGAGGGGGACACCCGAGAAGGACAATGGGGGGGGGGGGGGGTGTGGGCCGCGCCGGTCCCGCCGCCCATGTGAGGCGCCGGCCGCTCCCCCGCCCGCCCGGCGCTGCCCGCACTTACTCTCGGTGCCCCTGCCCGGGCCTCATGGCGCCGCCGCCGCTGTGCCCGTGCCGGCCCCGCCGCTCCCCGCCGCCGCCGCCCGCTCTCGCCGTAGTGGCTGCGCCAGCCGCTCCCGCGCATGCGCGCTGCCCGCCAACGGCCCCGCCGCCCCGCCCCCGCGCATGCGCCGCTCCCCGCCGCTGTGGGATGGCGGGGGGGGGGGTGGCGCCGCGCCGCGCCGCCCCCTGGCGGCGTCCGGGAGCACCGACAGCGCCGAGCACCGGGATGGGGGGGGGGGGGGGGGGCGGGAAAACGGGGGTGTCCCGACCTCATACCGCAGCCCCAGCTCCCGCACCAAGAACGGGGGGGTGGGACTCTCGCCGGACACCCCCCCCCCGCCTTCCTGAAGTCAACGCAAACACCTCCCTGCTGGCGGGGATCGGCCACATCCACCGCCGCGATTGGCTCACCAGAGGATAATTAACCTCATTATCCAACCTCATTAATGAGCTGCAGGGTCAAGAAGTGGTGAGGCATCACCTGTTCCCGAGCCTGGAGCATTTCCAGCTCCCCCAGGACCCACCGTGGCTTCAGGCGCTTGGCTCCATCCCTCCTCCTGCACCTGGGACAAGGCGCAACCTGGACCTCCACAAACCCCCCCCAGGGAACAGCCTCCCCCTCCCACGAAACACCTCCGACCCCTCAAACCCCACTCACACAGCCTCCTCCCCCAGCAAAGTGCAACATTCAGAAGCCACAGCTCTGGAAAGGGGATCTAAGCTCGGCTAGGGGAAAAAGGAGGAAAGACATAAAAGCGTCCCGGTTTGCGTTGGAATAAAATGGATGGAAGGTGGCGGCTGCGAGGTCCGGCTGACGGGGAGGGAGAAAGGAGATGAGAACAGGCGCTTGTGCTGGGACCTCATTTTACTGCAAGGAAAATAGAAAAGTCAGATTGTGGCACCGAAGGGAGGACAGGGTCCCCTGCTGAGGGGAAACACCGCAGGCCGGCCCAGGGAGGTTTCTCAACCTGGATTTCAGAGGATCTTGCCTTCCTGACAGCAGAATCCTTCAGCAGCTCAGACACAGGCTTTTGCCAGTGCTGGTAAAGCATCTCCTTGATGTTACACTGAAGAAGGATGGTTGGGCACAGGTTTGGGGTTCCAGCAGGAGCAGAGTCCCCACCAGATCACTTAACTGCTGGGGCAGCAGCCCAGGGTCTCCTCGCTCAGGGATGTTAATTTATAACAGGGATCTACCTGGATTTGGGGCAGGAAGCTACCCAGTGCTCCAAACACCTGAGCACAGGCACGTGCCAAGACAAAACTCAAGCCCCCAAAACACCCAGTCCAGGTGCAGCCTGGCAGGGAGGGCAGGGGCCCGGGCACACATGGGGCCAGGCTCTATCGCACCCAGAGCTCTGCAGAGTGACATGTGGCATCCCAGTCCTGCTCCTGAAGCCTCCGAGCCTTGGCTCACACCCCAACCCCTGCCAGTTGCTCTCCATCCCTGACACCCTGTTAAACTGGAGCTGCAGAACCCGCTGCTGTTCCCTCTTTGGGCTTTTCTCTAGCTGTGACCGCCTCTACGTTTGTATCTGCGACCTTGGTGCAAAGAGTAATGACTTTGATGTAACCCTGGTGCAATGAACTATTCAAACTCCACTGATAGGGGGTCCACTGTGGTTTTGCAGGACAAACAAGCCATTCTGAAGAAGTAAGCACCTATGAGATGCTGCTAGAGGCATCTTCAGACCAAACCACACAACATTCATTCATTAGCCAGAGGGGTGGACAGGTAGTACCCCACTGGGCACCAGAAACAAGATGTGGAGAGGCAGAAAGACACCCATTCCCTGCTCCATTTCCCTTTCTCATGAATATGCTTCAGCAAATACCCACAAGCCCAGTGAGCAATTTTCTGACCTCCCTGCTCCTCTCCCCAGCGCTCAGGGAAGCAGCTTGTGGATACACACCAAGAACGGATCACAGTTCCATTCCTCCCTTCTCCAGGAATCCACTCAGCTGAGTCTATGACCAGACCCAGGCCTCTGGAGCAAGTACCACACACAGGAACTGTGAACTGATTAGGAAGTTGGAGGAAAGGATGACAGGGAAAAGAGAAGGAACAAACATTTTTTACAAACTACTGCACAGAAGAGGTCAAAATCAAAGCAGCAGCTGGCGGTCACCTAAGAGGATGGTGCACGCACACCTGTGGGAAGGGCTCCCAACAGGAGTTGGAAACCACTGGTCTTTAGAGCCTACAGAGAGTTTAAGAGCTCCCTCTGTCACACCCAGTCATTACAGAGTGTTTCTGCCAGCCAGCAAAACCCTCCACTCAGCCAGCCTGGGCAATACTGACTCCCTACACGGTCACACACTCACACTCATGAACTTTAACAGAGCAGAGAGTGAAGCTGACACAAGACCAGTGCATGGGCTGGGGAAGCCTTTTCCTCCTGAAGGACCACTGCTGGAGTCATTCAGCCTTTAGAAGAGATAATAAACATGTGTTGATAATCCTTCACTGCAACCCTTTGTCCGTTAAAAGACAGGAGATGCTCCTGAACACAAACACTCGACAGCAAGGATGCAGGACATCACCCAAAAGAAGTGGATGACAGCTCTGTAAGCGCAGGACCAGAACTGCATGTGCAGCTGGTTCTCCAGTGTCCATCCCCAGCTTCCACAAGATAAGGTGTCATATAAGGTCTGAAGATTTTATTTCAGTTTGGGCCATTCTCCCACAGAATAATATATTCTACTTCAGCCCTCAATATTGATTCCATCGTCCTCTTTTTCAGTATTGAATAAGGGTGGCAAGATACCCACAGGGGAAAACAGAACCAGTTTTTCTGCAAGAGCAGAGAGATCAAGGGCTGTTAAAACACGTGCAAGCTGCTCAACTCTTCACATCCACCCTGAGCTTCAAGCGGACATCACACAGGAAAACGTTCATCAGGTCCTGGCCAGCCTCCTGAGCAATCCTGCTGATAACCTTACCTCCTCTTCCAATCAACATCAGCTGTATTAAAACCCAGAGAGAAGATCGTCATGCTCATCATTACATCGCTTAACTGCAGGGAGGAATCACCCAAGAAAACAACAGTGCGGCCACAGGAGCAATTAAAGGGGATAGAACAGTTAGAGAAATACCAAAATCAAACCACAGGCAACTTCAGAGAGGTGTAAGCTGTTACTGAACAGGCTGTGGCAGGCAGCTGGTTCTTCCCGAGACCCCAGAGCTGAGGGAGAGGGGGTCACAGCAAAGATGCACACGCCTGGACCTGGGGAACCTCCTCCCCTGCTCCCCATCTCTTTTCTGTTACTCACCTTATGAGAATTCCTCGGGACCAAGAGGTTCTGCACGATGAGGAGCTCCCCACTCGGTCCCTCCTCCCACATCTCCGTCACCTGCAACAGCAAGCACAAACTCAGCAATTCTGCAAAAAGCCTCAGGAACAGCAAGTGCCACTCCCTCCGACACGCCAGCTCAGCTCCCCACACGAGCTCGCGAGGGCGGCTCCCCTTCAAACACAAAAAGCATCTCACAGCACCCAACGTGCAAGTCCCAAGTCACCCCGCGGGGCCTGTAGAGGGTCTGGCAGATTTTACAGATTCATACAAAGGGATTCTCATCGCACAGGGTATTTTATTTCCAATAAAATACCTCAAAGGCAAGTCTGTTTGTGCATGCTTCCTACCTGAATCACGCCGTAGGGCACTTCCAGTGGCAAGTACTCCAGTATCTTTTCCCTGATGATATTATCACAGATCTGTTGAGGTGACTGGCTGGTCAACACCCCGCTGTGAAACTCCCAGGGGCCTGGCTTGGCTTGCATCAGGAGGTACCGCTGTCAGCACAAAACACACATCACACCCATCAGTTGTCACGTGCCACCAACCTCTGCTCATCTTGCAGCGAGTCGCTATGAGGACGCTGCTGCTAGTCAGGCATCAGGGTGGTAGTTTTAGCATCTTTGGCAGGGAAAGGGGAAAGCGAAACTTCTGAAACTCAAACCTTGCCAAAGGGACACACCTCCCTAGAGCCATTTGTTTGAGCTACAAAAGCCTACGGTATCCCTTGTAGCTGAAAGAAAATGGTTGGGTGGCTTCATTGTTATGAACAAGCTGCACTTTGGAGAGCCCCAAATAAAAGTTCTGTACAGAAGACTCTGGAGATGCAGTACGAGCATACTCCAGATTGACACACAACACTTCCTCCCCCGCATCCCAGTCCAAGAACAGCAGCTCTGCTACTTCCTCACAGGAGACAAAGCTCAGTATGAAGACCCGGAGTCCCACAGGGGTAAGAGCACACCAGTCTCAAAGTGTAACAGAAGTTCAGACTGCAGTTACCTTGAGCGTATCCACTTCCTCACCACGGCGAGCTGCCAGCATAAAGATCTCCTGGAAACACGGCCAGCCTTTCATGTTTTTTAGATCTCTGGGTTCATAGTGCTTTGGCCCTTGTGCTGCTTCTGTGACAAGACTGGACTCGGAAGCCCTCGTACCACTGCTACTGTCCATGCTAGAGCCTTCTTGGGCTCGATCTGTTTCTTGCAGACAGTGAGACCCAGGGAACCCGTTCTCAGGTGGAGAAGCCCGAGTGAGTTGAAGAGGGGACTTTGCTGAAGAACTGGAATCATGTTCAAATGCAGATCTCCCATCCAGTTTCTTTCCATTTACAATTCCCTCTGTTAGCTCCGTTACTAGTCCCAGCAGGAGAAACTTATTCTTTAGCAGATCCACCTAAAGTGAGAGAGAGGGGTGTCAGGAATCTGTCCTAAAGGAGGTTGGCAGCTGGGCCCTGGATCGAGGAGCCAGAAAAAAAACACCCAGGGGTGGCAGGGCAAGGCTTCTGCAGCAGAACCAGACAGTTTTCCGATCGGAGGCCAAACCAGAGGAGTCAGCAGTTCCAGCGCAGTTTATCCAAACACTGTCAACTCGACAGCAACACCTTCTCTGTCAGCTCTGCCGAGATCCTCACCGGCCAACAGCACTGTGGTGCCAGCTCCTCTTCCCAGGCTGATTTAAACCCCCATCTACAGAAGACAGCTCCAGGGATGCTTGCACATGCAACAGGTATACATACATACACACGGAAATATCCTGGAGCAGAGGGAGAAGCTGGTGTTCCTTAACACACCAGGACTCAGGGACCTGAAAACACATCGCTGATGGTGCCGGGTACTGTCTGAAGACACCAGCATCACAGACTGTCGAAGGCAGAAAGAACAAGCTCCTCATTTACCTTGTTCAGAACCAGGACACTGGGGATCTGGGGAAACTGAGACAGACACTTCAGCACCTCCCTGCTCAAAGAGTTTCGCGTCCAGTGATCTGACACATCCACCAAAACCAGAACTGTCAGAAAAGAGTGAGGTAAATATGATGAACCCGCATTTTCCAAAATGTTACATTTTCAGCTTCTCTGCAGTCTATGGTCACTTCTCTTCTGCTGCTACTTCTCTCTCTCCTACAGGAGAGCACACAGACAGAACCAAAAAGGAGCATTTTAATTGATAAAACAATAAAAATGCGGTTTATACTTGTCATCCAAATGACATCACACATGCTAAAACTTAACATCCAAGCCTAATTATTACCCCAAGCTGCCTCCCCTCAGCACCAGGTAATTCTTATCCCCTCCTCAGCTCAATATTTCAAACCTTTTCACCGCCCTTCCCTCTCAGGACTGCCTTTGCTGCCCCATAAACATCCAGATACCACAGCTACAGGGCTGTAAACTTCTGTGACAGATAAAGGGTTTGGCTTGATCCAGGAGGTGCTGAGTACCCACCTAAATCTGCATGTTTCATGCTGTCCCACGGGTCTGTCAGCATGGCTTGATCTAATTTATGTCTGAAAGACAAATGCAAGTGAGTAAGCCAGACACACTTGGTCACAATCATCTTCCTTCCTCAAGGACAGAGAAAAAACAGTGTTTTCCACAGTGGAAATCACTCTCCGGTTTTATCAAACCTCGATGGACAGGACCCCCCCTCTCCACTCTCCTCACAAAAGCAGTGATACCTTTTGACTTTAAAGGGATTAGTGAGGCCAGGTGTGTCCAGAATGATCTAGAAAGAGGAAAGACAGATCTTGTAAGTTTGCCTGCAGTAAGTGGCCAAGCTAAAACTTAGATCTGTGCAATCAGAATTGACTCCATGGGATACAAATGAGAAAGCTCCGCGCTTTCTGGCTCACAGTCCCTGCTGTCCCAGCGGGAACGGGTCTGAAAGCTCACCAGCTGTGTGTCCTCGTACGTGACAACACCCCGGGCTTTGCATCGGGTGGTGTGCACTTTCTTAGAGACAGGGAAAACCTGTAAGAAATGAAATGTGTTAGCCAGAATACATCAAAAAACCCCACCACAGTTTAGCAGCCCGAATGTTTTGCTCGACCCCAGCTTTACCTTTCTGCCCAAGAGCTGATTACAGAGCGTGGACTTCCCAGCATTGGGCGCTCCAATGATGGCAATTCTTAAAACCTTGGGGTTTTGGGGCTGGTCAGGCCGATGCTTTAACAAGCGGTCTTGTTCCTCTACCAGCAGAGAGAAGGAGCTTGAGCGCTGCTCAAGCCCCTCTGTGGGTCAGGATCGCCTGTCCCAGCGCCGGGACCGGGCGGCAGCTGGTACTACTCACTTTTATCGGTGGCAACAGGCGGCGGGTGCTGGCCCGGGGCGTCACTCGGCTGCTCGGCGGGGATGCCCAGGATGCTGCCCAGCGCGGAGCTGCTCCCGCTGCAGCGAGTGGGGAGCGCAGCGGCCCGCAGGACACCGCTCGCCAGCCGGCGGGCTGCAAGGACAGCAGCAACAGGCGCCGCGTGTACCGGGAACCGGCGTGCACCACAGAAAGCCCCGAAACCCCGTCCTCGCCTTCCTCCCCGCCCGGCAGCGCTTCCCCCTCACCCAAGGCTGCCGGGGCAACCGCACGGCCCCGAGCCCGGCCCGGCCCGGCCCGGCCCGCTCCGCCCCAGAAACGCGCCCCACCTGGGCCCAGGAGCAGCGGCCCCGCCGCGGCGGCCCCAGCCCGGGCAGCCCAGCGCACGGCCCCAACTGCGGGCGCCGCCATCTTGCCCCGCCGCGGGGCAGGCTGGGAGGGCGAGCGACACGCAGCCTCATTGGCGGGAAGAGGGAGAGCACCGAGAGGGGGCGGGCAGGGCCAGAGCGCCGCGCTCCGCCGCGGGGTGCCGTTGGGGAAGAGGCGGGCTGGCAGGCGGGGCGGGAGCGCCCCCTGCCGGCCCCGCCACGCGGTGCGGGGTGGAGACACCCCGGCACACAGCCCAGCGCTCCCAGTGCCCCACAACACAGCCCAGTGCCCCACAACACAGCCCAGTGCCCCACAACACAGCCCAGCGCTCCCGGTGCCCCACAACACAGCCCAGTGCCCCACAACACAGCCCAGCGCTCCCGGTGCCCCACAACACAGCCCAGTGCTCCACAACACACACAGCCCAGCGCTTCCAGTGCCCCACAACAGAGCCCAGTGCTCCCAGTGGTCCCACTGCTCCCAGTGCCCCACAACACAGCCCAGTGCCCCACAACACACACAGCCCAGCGGTTCCAGTGCCCCACAACACAGCCCAGCGCTCCCACCACACAGAGTTTTCAGTGCTCCTTGCACTCCTACCACACATCCCAGTGCTCCCACTGCCCCACCACACAGCCCAGTGCTCCCACCACACATCCCAGCTCTCCCAGTGTTCTCAGTGCTCCCACCATACAGCCCAGTGCCCCCACTGCCCCCACTGCCCCCACTGCCCCACCACACAGCCCAGAGCTCCCAGAGCTCCCAGTTCTCCCAGTTCCCCAACACACAGCCCAGTGCTCGCAGTGCCCCACAACACAGCCCAGTGCTCCCCAGTGCTCCCAGTGCCCCACAACACAGCCCAGTGCTCCCCAGTGCTCCCAGTGCCCCACAACACAGCCCAGAGCTCCCCAGTGCTCCCACTGCCCCACCACACAGCCCAGTGCTCCCACCATACATCCCTGCTCTCCTACCACACATCCCAGCTCTCCCAGTGTTCTCAGTGCTCCCACCATACAGCCCAGTGCCCCCACTGCCCCCACTGCCCCCACTGCCCCACAACACAGCCCAGAGCTCCCAGTGCCCCGCCACACAGCCCAGTGTTCCCACCACGCAGCTTAGTCGGCCCCAGTGCCCTCTGCAACACACTCCAAGTGCACCCAGGGCTCCCGGTGCCCCACAACACACATCAGTGTGTCCTAGTTCCCCCCACAACACACCCCAGTCCGTCCCAGGGCACTCCAGGATGCTCAGTGCCCCCCACAACACACTCCCTGCAGCCGACTACTCCCCCATGCTCCCCAGGGAGCCCCAGTGCTCCCAGTTCCCCTTTTTAATGCAATCCTGTGCATCCCAGTGCTCCCCCTGCCATACACCCCAACGCTCCCCAAGTCTCCCCAGTCCGCCCCACAACACACCTTAGTGCCTCCCAGTTCTCTCCAGTGCCCCCTGCAACACACCCCAATGCACTCCAGTGCCCTCTGCACTGCACCCCGAAGTTCCTCTGCCCCCCCCCTCCACCCAAATGCACCCCAAAGTTCCCAGTCCTGCCCTGCACCCCCAGCACATGCCCTGAGCCCCCCAGTACACCCAGTACAGCCCCGCCAGTGGGCCTGGAACCCCCAGGGGACGCAGTGAGGAAGGAGAACCAGAGCCACGGTGCTGGAAACCTCTTTATTGCCCCGTGCCCGATCCCCGGGCTCCATCGCTGTGTCTATGCCGTGCTGTGCCATGTCATGACATGTCACGTCCTGACGTGCCGCGCCGCGTGCCCGACCGTCGGCAGAACCGTTACCATTACTAAACTCAGTAATGGTAACGGTTTCCCCGCCGGCCGCGGGTCCCTGGCTGCGCCGGGAGCTGCCCCCTCCTCGGGGTGCCCCTGTCCCCCCAACCTCCCCACCCCATATGTCCCCCCAAGACTCTGTGTATGTGTGGGGGGGGAGGGGGTCCCCCACCCCGTCCCTCCATGCCTCACGCCGAGGTCCCGCGTCGCAGGTGCCACCCCGGGGGAGTACATCATCTATACTGTAGTGTCTTATAGCGAACTTACAGTATATGATGATATCCTGCCCCGGGGGGCGGGCAGCGTGCCGCGGCGGGGGGGGGGCACAACCGGAGAGCAGCGCCTGCACAGGGAAGAGGGAGAGCACTGTTAGGGACCACAGCACCAGGGCCTCTGCACCCCAACATCCCACCTCCCTGTCCCCCCAGTTCCACCATCCTGGAGCAGGGTGGAAGCTCCCCATAGACCCCCTGACCCCAACAACCCCCCCCACACACACTTTACCCCATTTTCCCCCCATCCCACTGCTCCAGAGCAGGATGAAGGCTCCCAAGAGCCTCCCCCACCCCAGCACCCCCCAACCCCTCCTTATCCCCCCCAGTCCCACCACCTCGGATCAGGATGGAGGTTCCCAATAGCCCCCTGACCCCAATGTCCCCCCTACCCCATCTTTGTGTGTCCCCCCCCTCTCCCAATCCCACCACCCCAGAGCAGGACGGCAGCTCCCCAGGAGGTGGCACCTACCTATGGGGGTGGCACCGGGGTTTTCTGGGGTGCTGGGTCTGCACCCGCCTTATAAAACCTGCTCTGCCTCATCTGCATATCTCACATCTGCACTGCACAGCTGGACGGGGCCCCTTAACCCCTTCATGTCTGGGGGGGGCACAGCCCCAACAGCTCCCCCCCAGCCTGGCATAGCCCGTGGCGGGGCTTGGGGGTGGGGGGTTTGTGGAGACCCCCCCAAAAGGCATGAGGGGTGGGCCCCCACAAGCCTCCTGTCCTCCTGCCTTCACCCCTGTGGTCACCAGAATGGTCCCTTCCTATAGGTGGGGGGACCCCAAACTGGAGCCTACCCATTGCAAACTGGTTCCCAGTTGCTGGACAGGGGCTCTGGACATGGCAGGGAGGCAGCTCCATGGGGATGGGGCCCGGGGTGGTAGTGGGGGGGGACATGTGGGTGCAGGGGGTCACCCTGCAAAGGCACCTCCAGATGAGGTACATGCATGTGGGTGTAGGGAGCCCGTGTCCCCCCTGGGGCGGGTGACCTCCAAAATACTGTGTCCCCCTGGCCATATATGCTCCCCTGAGGGACATGTCCCCTATCAGTGTGTCATCCCCCCCCCAAAAAATGTGACCCCCAGCCTGCAAGGATATGTCCCCCGGGTTTACATGTCCCCTGCCTGTGTGTGCCCCCCCCAGGGGGATGTGGCCCCTGCAGGGATGTATCCCCCAGCTGTGTGTCCCCAAGGGACGTGTCCCTCTGGCCACATGTGTCCCCAAGAGCGCTGCGTCACTTCATTGTGCAGGACCCTGGTCATACGTGTCCCCTGGCCACGCGTGTCCCCAAATAGCCGTGGCCACTGGCCATGAGTGTCACCTGCCCGTACATAACCCTGGCCATACGTGTCCCCCAGCTATGCGTGTCCCCAGCCCGGTCTCTCCCCAGAGGGCCACATCCTGCAGCAAGCCCCGTGCCACTGTGCCCCGTTGTTTGCAGCAGGACACGCCGGCGTTCCAGGAAGCCGCCTGCGGGGAGGTGATAACCCCCCACCCAGACCGTGTGCTGGGAAGGGGGGGGGGGGGCCCGATAAGCAGCACCATCCAGCTATCGGGGACCCTGCCCTGTCACGCGAGGTGTCCCCAGACCCGCTGTCACCTCTGGGTGACAGGAACAGGGGCAGCATCACCCACACTCCCTGCCCTGGCCTGGCCAGACCCGGGCAGGAGGTGGCACAGGGGTCAAGCCCTGGCCCCAGCCTGTCCCCAAGCATGAGAATGCCAGGATCTGGGGGGGTTGCAAGGGACTGTGCCCTCCTGTCTGTGTCCCCTGTTGTGACCCAAAGGTGTCCGGAGGGGGCCTGTAGTGCTCCCCAAACTGTGGCACAGGCATGCCAGCACCGAGAGCAGGGACATAGGCAGTGTCCCCAAGAGTCCCCCAAGTCGCGCCAACCCCAGGTGAGCCCTATGGGATTATCCCCCCTGCCAGCTCAGCACCCACAGCACCCGACAGCAGCCCCGCACCCCCGTGGGACAGAGGGGGCCTGAGTGCCCCCCAGGCTGGCACCACGGAGCTGCTGCAGAGACCCCCGGGTGCTGCAGGGATCCCTGGGTGCTGCAGAAGACACCTTGGTGCTGTGGGGGACCCCCGGGTGCTGTGGGGGACCCCCGGGTGCTGCGGAGGACCCCTGGGTGCTGCGGGGGACCCCCGGGTGCTGCGGGGGACCCCCGGGTGCTGTGGGGGATCCCTGGGTACTGTGGAGGACCCCTGGGTGCTGCGGGGGACCCCTGGGTGCTGCGGAGGACCCCTGGGTGCTGCGGGGGACCCCCGGGTGCTGTGGGGGATCCCTGGGTACTGTGGAGGACCCCTGGGTGCTGCGGGGGACCCCTGGGTGCTGCGGGGGACCCCTGGGTGCTGTAGCCCTCCCACCAGCCGTGCCGCTCCAGGGCAGCGTGTCTGGCTGCAGATAAGGAGCTGCTGGGGGGTGCCGAGCTGTCCCCACCCAGCCTATCTGCAGGGCCACCCTGCTGCCGAGCGTGTGGGACAGGGCCCTTTGTCCTGTCCAGCCCGGGATGGAGTGGGACATGGAGGGTCTGCCCCGGGGAAGGCAGTGCAGTGAAGACCCCTCCCCCCCCCGGGAGCCCCATTGCTGGTTGTCACTGCTCCTGCTCCCAGGTTGACCCCCAGAAGGAACGGGCACCCCCAGAGCCATCCCACTGTCCCCCAGGGAAGGGAAGGACCCGGTGACAGCTCAAGGCCATGGGCTGGTGGGACAGACAGAGCCGTCAGCCCCGCTCTGAACCCCGGGGGCGCCACTTGTTGGGGTGCCCCCAGAGCGCTCAGCTCCCCGGGTTAACGAGGGCGATGCAGCTGGAGTTCACCCACCCGTGCGGGAGCTGCCCCCGGGGCTGCTCGGGGTTGGGGAGACGGTGACCACAGCGAGGCCACGAGCTCCCAGTTTTGCAGGAACGACCACGAGCCAGCACCTCACTTCCAGGCACCCCTTGCTCCCCCATCCCAGCGGATACACGTGCCCGCTCCGGGGCCAGCCCCGCGCCACGGCCGGCCAAGCACCGGCTGGGGCCGGGCCCCGGGGGGAAGGAGAAGACGAGAACCAAGGCCCGCGGTGACGAGGCTTTATTATCGTACAGCGGTGAGGGCGGCAGGGACGCAGGCATGCACACGCACATGCAGATAGGGCCTCGCCCGGCACACCCGCCAGCAAGTGCCAGATCTGCGCCGGCGGCACCCACGCAAGCCGGGGGCTGATAACGCCGGTTCATCCCCCCCCCCACCCCCTGGTGTCAGGGAGGGGGACGGGGTGGCACCGCAGCAGAGGGTCGGGATGGTAATGGGGTCACTGCCACAAGTGGGGAAGGGGACCTGGGTCCTGCACCCCCCCCCCTTAGGGCAAGGGGGGGGTGGGTGGCACTGAGCTGTGGGTGAGGGACCCCCCCCCCCCACCAGCACCCCGCGGTGCCTGCGCAGGTCACCACCACGCTGACCTTCACACGGGGGTTGTGCTGCTCCAGCCACACTGAGCACAGGCGTCGAGGGGGGCACGGGCACCGGTGGCACTGTGGGGAGGACGGGACACGCAGAGGGGACAACCTCCTTCACATTGTCACTCAGGGTAGCAAAGCCACTGGCCGTAAGGGGCAGGGGGGACTGAGCGAGGTAGGGGCTTCAGCACTGCCTGCTGGGGCATCCCCCCGGCCAGCACCCAGGGCCACGGCACCAGCCCCGGGGGCACTGGTCCCCGGCCAGCTCTACAGGCCACGGTGGGGGAAGAGCCCGTCCCGTCCCCCTCTGACCCGGGGCTTGAGGAGTTTTGGAGGGGTCAAAACATACCGCAGCGCTCGGGGACAGCAGCCTCCGGTGGTTTCGCCTCCCTCCCCGGAGACGGGGCGACTTTGGCACAGCGCTACTTTTTGGCATTCAAGGTGGTGGGACCTCGGCAAGCCTGGCTCAGAGCAGCGCTGAGCTGGGCTCCGTCAGCCCCCTGAGCTCTCCCCGCTCCAGATCCCGGGAGAAAACTTCCCCAAGGGAAGGCAGCAAGGCAGTGCCTGATTGTCACCCTCCCAGGAGAGGAAGCCCAGCCCGGGTGGGATTGCTAGCACGGTGGTGTCCCTGGGGGCGAGACACGGAGTGGGGAAAGCCGGCCACAGCTCACGGGCAGGGCCCAGGAGGGTCGCTGCGGGAGGGCAGGGAACCCAGGGGAGCTGGGTCCTGGCTGTTCTCTGCCTACAGCTCCACATCCCACCCAGCCTCTGCTCCCAGCTCTGGGCAGGCACCCGAGGACAGAGAACAGCAAGGCACCGGGCTTGCAACACCAGACAAGCTGCCAGTTGGAACTGGGGACGGGATCCAAACCCCGGCCTGATACAATAAACAGTTAGTTACAAAATAAATCCCCCTCCCACCCTTTGTAATAAAAAGAGCAGCTGACTGGACATGCATCTTTCTGGCCCTACAAAATAAGGCACCAGAGCTTAAAAATAAAACTCCAATTGTCTTTGATATAAAAGGAATTTCCACGTGTTGAAGGCAGTTGATGTCTGAGTGCATAAGAGGGAGTGATCTTCACTAGCTTTGGGCTGGCAGCCTCATGCCTGGGCCCCGGTGGCTTTCTGGATCAGGGGAATCTGTCGGAGGGGAAGAGAGAAGCTGTTAGGGCTGGAGAAGGGGGAGGCAGGGAGCTGCCTGCCCTCTGCGGCCGGGCAGGGCTGGGGAAGGAGAGGCTCCCTAGGAGCCTGACAGTTTTCAGGCGAGTCCCTGTGCCCCACGAGCCGCAGGGGTTGCCAGCTGCCGGCGCCCGGCTCACCTTTGTCAGATCCACGCCCGTGATGGCGCGCACGGAGGCGGGGATCTCGGCCAGCAGACGGTTCACCTCAGACGTCGTGTTGCCGCTCTCTCCGCTGAGGATCACGATCTCGTCCACTTTGGAGAGGGGAGCAGCCACTTTGGCGGCGATCTGGGGGTGGGATGAGCCGAGAGTCAAGAGGCTGCTCACCAGCCTGCTGGGCAAGGTCCCCCCGCAGCACACGGGGGGGGGAGACCTGGCACAGCCTGAGAACTCCCCACCGCTTGCCCGGAGCAGGGGAAAGCTGCTCCCTCCTCACCTCAGGAAGAGCATCCAGCACCAGAGCCAGCTGGGCAGCTTCTCCGTACTGCTTGAGTGCTTCAGCTTTCAGCTTCATCCTCTCAGCCTCCGCCATCCCGATGGCCTCAATCACAAAAGCCTCCGCTTCTCCAATCTTGCGGATCTTTTCTGCCTCCGCCTGAGCCATGAGGACTTGCTTCACCCTGGAGAGGGAAACCCAGCCCTCCAGCAGCCCAGATCCCCGCAGCGTACCCAGCATTGCTTCCCTCCCTCCCTCGGCCACATGCCCGCCCTGCAGAAAGCCCACGAGCTGGGGCTCAGTGCGGCACCCGCTGCACTTTGCTCCCACCTCACCCCAGCCCAGCGTGCAGCCGGGCTCGGGGCTGGACCAGGTCACGGGCTCACTCACTTCTCGCCCTCAGCGATCTGCTGGATACGGTAGGCTTCGGCCTCGGCCGGCCGCTTCACAGTGGCTATCAGCTCCTTCTCCATCCGGATGATCTCCTTCTCTTCCACATCGATCTGCTTCTTGCGCTGCACCACCTCGATTTCAATTTCCTCTTGGCGGATCTTCTGCTGCTCCCGGGCGCTCTGGAGCTCGTAGGCCAGCTGGGCCTCTGCAGTCTGCACAGAAGAGAGAGAAGAAGAGGGGTCTTGGCCATGATCTCCTGTGTGCAGGCGTAAGGACCCTTGGCAGGCCCTGAAACCAGACATGGCTTCTGCTCCCAGACCTCTACACCCAGGGGTGACATCCCAATCCTCAGAGCTGCGCTTGCTGGCCTTCCCTGTGTGCTCTTCCCACAGCACTTGAGCCCCAGCCAGCTCCAGGTTCAGCTTGGATGACCCTCCCCACCCTTTCCTCTCCTCCTAATCCCACCTAACTGTTGCGAACAGAAGAGGAATCTGCTGCAAGGAGCTCAGACTGTGACACAGAAACCTGGGTTCTCCACCTCCAGCAATCCCAACACATGCAGGAGGAAGAAGCGGAGAAGGCCCAGGGCTACCAATACCATCACGAACCAGGCAGGGAACAGCGGTGGGCTGTCGGATACCTCTCACCTTAATGTTGACCTCCTCACTGAAGGCAGCTTTCTGCAACTCAAAAGCCCGCCTGGAATCTGCTATTTTAGTATCTGCCATGAACTTGACGTCCAGCATTTCTTTCTTGCACTCTGCCTCCTGCGGAGAGGAAACAGAGAGCGCAGAGCTCCAGGGCACGCGGCTGAAGCGAAACAGGCTGCTCTGGGGGAAGCCCAGCACATCTCCAGACTCACCCGAATGCCGGCATCTCGCTCGGCTTCTGCCACACCGATGTCTGCATCCCTTCGGACAGCCGCAGTCTGAGTCTTTCCCAGGGAGCTCAGGTAATCCACTTTATCATAGACGTCCTGGAGAGGGGAAGATAAGTCGCAACCGCTTCAAACAAGCGACTCCATTTTTGCTCCCTTCCCCTTGAAGCTCAGCGCCACCGCTCGCGCGGTGAGGCCAGGATCAGAACGAGCCGCGTCAGCCCGCTGCCAAACGGCATCGGGCGCGACAGGCTCTCCCGACATCTTCCCTCCAGCTCCCCGGGGGCCCGGTTATCAGCCAGCTCTCGCCACGAGCCGTGTTTACAGAGGCAGCTAAGCGGGTGCTCCTCGCCCAGCTGCCTGGATACAGGACATGCTGCGGCGGCTGTCATGGAAACTCCCGGAGGGCTGGGGCAGGCTGTCAGCCGGAGCCTTTCAACCAGCTACAGCACAGGGGCCCAGGCCGGGCTCTCTTGTCCTGCTTCTGCAGCGCTGCCCGGTGCCCCGGAGTGCAGCACCCTACGTCTGGGTGTACCTTGATGGTGAAGCTCAGGATCTCGATACCCATGCGACCCACGTCAGGAGCTGCCACTTCCCGCACCAGTTTGGCAAACTGATCCCTGTCCTGGTAGATCTGCTCCACTGTCAGCGTACCTGCAGAGGGAAGGGAGGTGAAGCACTTTATTTGGAACAGGTAACACACAATGGCGTGGGTCTAAGCTGAGCAACATCCTCATTGCCCCTGATCTCTTCAGGTCTGGGCACAAAGGTGTAATCCTCTGCCCAGGCCCTGCAATTGTGCGCCAACATCTCAGTCTCGCAAGTGCAACCACCACACACACACGTGCTACCTGTAACCCACAGGGACGCAGACATCTCTTACTGCAGGCACTGAAAACTCATTTATCACAACACTCAGCCACACAGCAGGAGCTGCTGTAGGGGAAGAACAATCTAAGATGCCACCTCTGCAGTCAGTAGAGGAAGCACCCATCGTGGCTGCTGTGGTGGCAGCAATACTGCTGGGACCAGCCAGCGGGGAAGGGAGAAAGCTACTCAAGATGCCTTCAAAAGCGCGAGCCCCTCCGCACCTAGGATGGAGCGCAGGTGCCCCTCCAGTGTCTGAAGAACCACGTTCTTCACATCCTGCACGTTCTTCCCCAAGAACTGCTCACAGGCCACAGCCAGGAGCTCCTTCTCGGTCATTATCTTCACCTAGAGACAGGAGACAAAACCGAAGGGACTTAAGGTGCCTGTCTGAAGAGGGACAGGCACCCAACAGCAGCAGCAGCAGCAGAAGCAGCAGCACCACCACCGGGCTGCCAGGCCCCCCGTGCTACCGATGCTCCAAGGGACCAACGCTGAGCTGTCACCACGCTGAGCCAGGCCACTGGTGCAGCTACCAAAAAGCCTTAACTATCAGTTCAGCCACTGCACCAATACCAGACCTAGGAGGAGAGGGATTTCCATTACTACCCCTGGCCAAAAGTCATTTCATTACCTTTCTCTTCCTCCTCCTTCACTAGAATTAATTTTTCTGACACGGGAAAGGCAGACAACAAGGAAGAGTCTGAAATGCCCAAGGAGCAGCTTGGGAACAGGGGCTCCATTCGGCGTTCCCTGCAAGGAGAGATGAGACGAGATGGCCGTAGCACACTGGTTTGTCCTGCTCGTGGCTGGGAGCTCCCAGCCGCCCTTTGTGGTGACCCCAACGTGCCGTGGCCAGGACATGGTTGTCCCACTCCGCACGGTCAGTCTGGTAACAATCCCCAGAGGTGGGACACAGCCACCCCAGCGCCGCTTTCACCTCCCACTGACAGAGCCAGATGTCAAAGCATCCCCAAGTCCAGACAAGCCAGGGTCTTGAGGTGGGCCTGCAGGTCACGGGGCTGCTTTTTAAAGGCAAAATGCGTTAAAAAGCCCCATGGGTTATGTTAGGCAGAGGAGATGTGTGGGACTCCTGGAGCTCTGTAGGACTCAGCTATAAGGAGCTACAACCCACCAAGGTGACAGCTCCTGGTGGCCAGGGCCAGTCTGAGGGCTCAGGCTTTGCCTGGACACAGGGATGTCTCTGTGTCTGGCAGCACCAGAGAAGGAAGCAGGGCCATACCAGCCACACAGCTCTGCTGGGACCTCTGGGTGCTGAGCGGGTCCCACAGCACCCTCTCATGGAGACATCTGGGGTGGGCAGTGCCTCCTGTGCCAGGAGATGCTGGTGGCACTTGGGGTCCTGCTCCAAGGGCCATGGCTGGACCTGCTGCTACCTGCGATGCCAGCACGGTCCTGGCTCAGAGACCTCGGAAGCTTCAGGCGCTGCACAGGAGCCCTCCGAGGGTCCCAGGGCATGCTCCTGGTGGGTTCACAGCCCACAGACCTCATCCTGACACCTACAAGACCGCTTTTCAGGGTCAAACTGCTGGCAAAAGCAACACCATTATTTACTGAGAAAACCTGGGCTGATAGCCCATGAGCCCAACATGATCCCACAGCTTCACCCCCAGCACTGCCGGGGAGCGGGGCAACTGGGATGGGCCACCACCTTCTAAGGGGACCAGAGGTGGAATGTGTTAGATGTGGCGAGCTGATCAAGACTCAGCTGCCACAACCCTACCCCTGGTAACATGTAGAAACACCAATCTGGGCTGAGCCTCCTTCTTAACTGTGCTTCTCAGGCTGGCTCTCCAAGTCAATATGCCAAACTGGATCTCTGGCAAGTGTGGCAATCCTCTCCTGCTTTCTCTGGGTTCCTTACCGGGCCAGGCCACCACGGCTTCTTGGCCCTGTACTCCGGGACCAGCAGTATGCACTTTCTACACAAGGGGGAGTTGGGAGAGCTGCTCATGCAGCTGCACCCGGGAGCGTGGGCCTTGCACAAGGCTCGTCTTGCAGCAAACGGGAGGTTTTTTGCAAATACCAAAACCAATTAGACTCAGCAGCAGCGTTTATGGTGTGCAACAGCCAGCGATTCCACCTCTCCACACAATCCCCACCCTTCAGGAGCTACAGAGAGGACAGGCAGAGCACAGAGTGGGATGTTTGTTAATAGAGTCCCTGCGGTGATCAGCAGGAGCAAGGAACGATTCAGCCTCTGTGAATAAAGCCAGCCAGCAGCCTGGCTGCGCTGGTAAACCCCGGATGGCCCAAATGAGAGCCTGGCTGTCTGCTAAATAGGGATGTCAATCCATAAGGCAAAGGTTGCACAAAACAAAACAGAGTTGAGCAATTCACGCTCAGCTTGTGTCCAGTATTTCAGACAGGGCACTGCGACACTTGGTGCAGCTTCAAATGTCATTCACATCAGAGAGAGGGTTTAGCTGGCAGGAAATCAGAGAGCCTCCATGAAACAATCCCATTTGGAGGATCGATGCTGCTGCACCCAGCTCCAGCCAGCTGCAATCACGGTGAGGCGTGAGCAGAAACAATCCAAATAGCTTGAAGCTACCAGAAAAATGGTACGGAAGGATACGAAGCCCAGCGTGGCCTAAGGCAGCAGCATCCCAGCACACCCCGAGCACCCAGCCAACACAGGAAGGAGGCTACTGGTGAGTAATCATTACATCCCTCTTCAAAGCAAGAACAGCATCTTCATGCACATTAAGCACTTCCAGTATTACGGCAAACATTTTAAAAGGTGTTTCTCTAGTAATAATTGGTTTGCTTTTTTCCTTTTTTTGCACAAGCCGTTAAAAGAAAAATGTTTGCTTCAAAAGTACTTATGCAAAATGAAGGAAACCTCTGCCATGCACGTTCCCAACTGCCTCAAGCCTGCTTTCTGCATGGCAATTCTTTGCATGTCATAAGCCTCAACCTTTAAGATTAATCAACAGTGAAAAAAATGAACAGTGAGAAGAGAAAATTACATGAACGAGGTGAACTGGGAGCTGCATTTCTAAATCAAGGCACCTGGCGATCCAGCCTTCTGCTAGTATGCGCTGCCCAGCCTAGATCATTTTGCAGGCAATGGAAGGATGTCCCAAAACTAGGTCAAAAAGGGAATGCAGGCTTCACAGAAGTACCTTTTCCAAATACAGAAGGAAAAGCCTACAGATTTATGAAATGTGAGGGGAGACATGGGTGCACGGATTTTGCCAACCATGCAAAGACCTCTGTGGTTATGTGACACATTAGCAGCTAAACGGATATGAAGAACTGAAAAACTGAAAACAAGGAGGCTGGTTCACACCGTTAGAGCCCGGACGAGCCCAAGAAGCTGGCTCCTGTGCTGGTGCTCTTGCACGTAGCCACGTTCCCCAGCAGCAGCAGGGTGACGGATTATCCGCTGCCCTTCTGCCACATGAGACAACCCAGAAACCGCTCCTGGCTGAATTCATCTCCTCGCTCATGCACAGACACAGCACGCAGCTCCTCTGCAACGTCAGTTCAGAGCAAACCAATGAACCCAGGGAGGAATCCGCTGCTCTGGAAAGCACTGGGTGACATCTGTCAAGAGCTTGGTCTTAAAAGGGCTGCAGCAGCCACGGTGCTCTTCCCTGAGGGGAGCTTTTTGACGCACGTGGGATTTTGGTCACATCACTGCGTCACTCAGCAGCTCCCCTCGGCTCCACTGCTCACAGCAGGGAATGTGGTGGTCACCTCTCCTGCAACAACGGACCTGGACATGCCTTGGGGACACATGGTGATCACAGCCTTGCACACACTGAGAACCACTGTCTTGGTTTTATACACCCAGAATGAGCTGTCAGGAGCAATTCTGAGGCAAAGCATCCAGCTGCCTATTCGGGGATTCAAATTCTGTTGAAAGATAACATTTTCCTCCCAGCATCCTCCCCAAGGCAGGATCTGGTCACAAGGACAAACTCTGTATCAGGGCAGCAGACCTCAGAGTCTAAGAAATGCAGGTGTTTAAGTGTACTATCACAAGCAGCAAGAGCTGGCTTTCATGTATGAAGAAGGCCTAAAAGAATCAAAATTCAGTTCAAGCCAGAAATTTTACACCCAGATTTTAGTGTCTGGAGGGACTAGGTTCCTTCTTTAAGCTTTAACTCACCGTGAAGAATTAAAAGGTCCACATGCTAATAATAATAATCCAAAGCAACATAATGTTCAATACCATCTCAGGAGTGAATGGCTCAGTCCTGCAGGGTCACACACAGCTCCAAGGGCACCGTGGTACATCAGCGCTTCACAAACAGATCAAGTCACCCACACACTTCATTTGCCACATGGACAAATGAGACACCAGAAAAAGAGGAATGATTTGGGGGAGGGGAGGAGAGGTCACAAACCCCTTCACAACACGGGACACGTTGTAGTGTGTTTGAACCAACCAGGACAGTGTGGTTTTGTACAAGAATTTGTTTCAGAGCAGTTGGATTTTGTTCCTGGACAACAGTAACCTCTTAAGAGGGAAAACCAGAGGTAAGTCAGGCATGCATTCCTGAAATGATGTTTTGGAGTTACTGTACCTGTGCCACACCTGTGACAGTTAAAGCTACCCCCTCCGCCGTCTCTACGTCCTCACACCTGGGCTGTAACGTCATTATCTCTAGGGAAATCCTGCCAAAAAACGTAAAATATTTGCACGTTTCCAGGTAACACACACTCAGCTCTTCCCTTTGCATCTCCTGCCCCGGGCTACCCGCCACACTCATCACAGGTAATGCAAGACAGGCGCAGAATGCAGCTGAGGGACTACATCTGTGACTGGAGACAGACAAATCGCTTTGGCCAAGAAACAGATTTTCAGATAACGCTTAAAGGCAATTTATCAGCAGAGGAAGGCTGGGAGCCAGACTGGAAATAATACCGTGACCCTTTCCCTTCTGCTGGGCTAGCGAGGCGGCCAGAAGGCAGCAGCTTTGGGACGCCAAAGGGCCCACCAGCGGCTCGTTGTGCCGTGCCGCCCGACGCCGGGGCAGCGCGTGCGCTCGCTGGCTGGTGTCACTGGTTTAAAAGCACAGCATGGACCTGGGGTGCTCCCGCCCGCCCCGCCACCCCTGCAAGAGCCCTGGTGCTTGCCAAAACCTGGCGCTGATGCTGCAAGAAGCAGCCCTGCCTTTGCCCTCACTGGGTTAGCATTAACACAGCCCTACCCCCTGATCTGGTTCACCTCTCCCTCTATTTTTCCTGTGTTCCGTGATCCAAAGGCAGATAGAAGTGAGTCTCCAGCTCTTTAGGGCCATGCCTGCATAGTATCAGGCACCCAGGAACAGATCCTGCAGCTCCAGAGCTTTCTCAGTCACACAAGGTGGGCTGGAGTTGCTTTGGCCAGACCTGACAATCCGCAGGTTGTGATTTGGTAAAACAAGAGACACGCTCGGCCGTGGCAGGTTCTGCTTCAGGGAGCAAAGCCTGGCTCTCGTGTCAGCCAAAACAAGCCAGGAAGGTATTGGGAGTCAGGACAGGGAGCCACGGGGCACAGAACTTCTGTCAGTGAACAGAAGGTCAAACGCCTGAACCACGAAGGGGCTGCGCTGGGCTGCTGCGTGCACGCCGAGTCGCTCCAGGATTGGCTGGAAGTGCCCAAACGTATCTGAGCAAGTTCATGCCTTGCCTTGGCCACTGTCCTAATTAAACTGGCACGCAAACCGGGAGCTGATAAGACAGATCCCGCTGTCCAAGACGCGCACAGGCATTTTCTGCCATATGCACTCACAGCTATAATCAGCTAGTGCAGGAGTTTAGCCTCCTGATGACCTAATCTATACTTTGAATTTAATTTCAATATTGTGCTGCTTCTTAGCTGGCAAGTCACAGGGCTGTTTGGTAATTACTGTTACAGTGGTTCATAACTGCTCACAGCGCAAACATTAGTCCTGTACGTTGCAACTCATCCGAAGTCTCTATGCTGTACTTCCAAACGTGACAACATCCAAAATGGGCACTGTCTCCATGTGGAGGAAGAAGGGCTGAGTGGAAACTCATATCCAAAACTTCAGAGCCACTACTGTTGCAATTTCCCCACATGTGCACAGGTTTCCTTTTGAAACGGCACAAAACCTGCCTTCCCACCTGCCCCAAATCCCGTACAGAACCCAATCCGGCCTGCTTGTGGCTCCACACAAAAGCAGATGCCCTTCTGCTCCCCACCAAGCACACAGTGGAAACAGTGCTGTCAAGGAAAGGGTTACAGCTAGAGCAAATGTCTGCAGCGTTATTATCATCGGAAGGAGCCAATACAGAAATGCTGAATTTGGAATTTGCCAAGAATGCATCTGTCTGCATTACCTACAAACCGTGGAGTGTGCCCCAGGGCAAGTGCCGGAGAAGGGGAAGGAGAGGAGGGTATTGAGATTTCAACTGTCCCATTAAAAATCCATTAGTTTTTATGTTATCCTGCTGCTGCTGCTGCTGTTGCTGCTGCTCAAAACAGAGGGACAAACTGTTAGACATGATGTTAGGAAGCTAGCGGATTATTACCTGTGCAACCCCTGTTACGTACAGTGGGACCCCCTCCGACGTCTCAATATTCTCACAGCGACAGAGGATGGTCATAACCTCCAAAGACAGTCTGAGCAGCGAGGAATAAGGGTAGGACAGCAAATATACAAAGCAGTTATCAGAGAGTAAGACACTCATTGCAAAGGACAGACGAGACTTTCAGGTTTTGACTTTTCCCTGTTCAGTTTGCCTTTCTCCCCCTGCCCGCTCCCTCACGCTGGGCGGGAGCAGCTGCCCTCCTCACCCCAGGGAGTTTACAGCATCCAGCTGCTGCTTTTAATGAGGACGAACTGCCTGGGGGCTCGTCTCCACCCTGCGTCCTGTGTCACCCCAGATGACACTGAACTGTGTATCCCACCTGGACTGTCATCCTGGAGTCAACTGCAATTCTCTGTTGGAGTGATCTTCACACGCAGAAAAATCCTTTTTGTAATAATTTGTATACTTCTATGCCAACATTTAAGAGGGGCCACAAAAATGAAAATGCCAGTGACTTGGAGACCCACCCCTGGCTAAGGCACTGATGAGAGAAGGTGCTTCCAAGTGCTGTCCTGAGAAGCTGAATAATACCATTTGGTTCCCCCAGCGGCATGTAAGACTGAACTGCCTCTCTCGCTGCTTTTATTTCTGACCCTTAAACAGGGACAGGATTTCTTTTTCCCTTTTTTCCGCCCCCCCCCCCCCCCCCCCCCTCCCCAGTCCTCAAGGTTGCAGCAGGATAAGAGCCCAGCACCCTGCCAGCTCTAACTGTTCCCTTTGTTCCCAGGTTAGTGCTACCTGGCAGGATGCCGCTGACAGCAACACAATTGCTGCTGTCTCTCTTGATTTCAGCACTGGCAGTTCCAGAAAAGATGTCCTAATTTCAGAAGAGGAAATCTGCCTCACTCTTCATGTTAATGCAGCAGGCTCCATCTGTGGCACGGTTTAGGGTATCTGGGAATGGCTCTGTTCTCAAAGGGAGAATTAAGCCCCACATCCCGTGGCATGAACCAGGGGTATAGATTTTAAAGTAAAAGATTTGTTTGGGTGCTGGCATTCCTGTCAAGAGCCCCGTTTGTTAAATAATGCACAGACCTCTATCATATGACAGCTCACTCCTGGCAAGCAGTTCTTGGCCCTGGACTCACCCTTTGCTTAACTTAATAAGCCAGCCTCCTGAATTCATCTGTTATCTCCTGCACCCAGCAGGTCAAGGTCCTGCGCTGTTCTCTGGACTTCTCACACAACAAGAGGAGGAGCAGAAACCATTTGTTCCACTCAACAGTTCTCCCCAACGAGGTGCCTCACAAAAATTGGGCAATGAAGCCTGTCTGGATCAAACACAGTTCTTAAGCAGGGAGCCCCCAAGCCAGGCCTTTCCTTTCCCCCCCACCTCTCACGAGCATCGCTGCAGAGCAGGTGTTAGCCGAGACCTCTTCGCGCAGCCGGAGTACTGCGGTAGGCTCTCGTAGCCATCCCGAGTACCAGCCACCTGGGAAAGGACCGGAGGGCTGTCGTGTGTCAGTCACCAGCAGCGGTCAGGACCCCTTCGAACAAGGCAAGCTGCCAGAGCCCCTGGTGAGCAGCCCCTAGGGCAGTGTATCATCTGCAGAGCCAGGGCAGCAACATGCTCGCTTTGTCTGCTGGTGGCAACACATGAACAGGGAAAAGAGGTGGCAAGATCAGGCAGTAAGGGTTAACTACAACCTCTGGCCGTCACTCAGTGCAAAAACCTAAAAGTCACGTCTTTATCCTTCTTCCCTATTATTTTTTACACAGATGGAGGAAACCTGCACTGGTGAGCATGAGGGAGGCGTTAGGAGAGAGTAACATTCCCACAGATCCTAAAGACAAAGAGTTACATTAGCAGGACAGCAGTACTACCACAGCATGTTAGTTCAGAGACCAGCATGATAAGAAGCAGCAAGCAAAATCCACGACCGACAAAAGGGAGAGAAAGGAAATCCTGTGGTTTTAAATAGGAACACAGTCTGCTCCCAACATGACAGCAGTCAGCATAACTTTAGAAAAAGAGACTTGAGGAGCAGGAGGGGGTGCTGGCCCACTGTATGCCACAAACATGTTTGCTACTGGGTGAGGGTTTGGGCCTCAGTGGGCAGAACTCAGCTCCTCTTGTGAGCTCACGGATGAGCCAGCCCGGCAGCCCCGCTGCCCTGTACCTCTGCAAGAGCCTCGTAGGTGCGGAGCGCTGTGAAGGCAGCAGCAGAGGAGAGCAGGGCTCTTGCTTTCCTCTGCACTTACTACACCAGCACAGGAAGAAACACACTGACCAGCCAGGCTACAGCCCTCTCAACTTGGTGGGTTTAATGTAAATAAAAAAAGAACCAAAGAGGAAAAAAACTAAGAAAAAAAAAAACCCCACATTTGATCATCCTGGGTTTGAGGAGAGGTGTGGACAGAGAGGACATCTGACAAATACTTCAGCTGAACACATGGGCTTTCTTTTCTTTTTTGTCTTTTGCACTGCAATACGCAGTTGGCCCCACACAAATAGTCAGCACAGAACTCCCCCATCCTGCGGTTTGATTTTGCACATCATCGCTTACTGTCAGGTAAGCCTGAAATGACAGGATTACCTCCCGCAGGGCCCTGGACAACCTCAGCCCCCAGCACTCGAAGCAGAGGATGGCCAGAAGCTGTGCAGTTGTGAGTGACCCTATGCCTCGGTGCACTACACAAGGGCACATATTGCTCCTTCCAGTGCTGTTCGCAAGGCAGCCTCCCTCCAGAGGACTGGGAGCTGGTTGCTGCCAAAGGCAGTGGGCTGGGCTGATGCTCATCCATGGTTTCATAAGCAGTGACCAGTCCTGTGTTCCTAAAGATACTGCTGACAGCCCCACTGGGATGGTTTTGCCTAACTCCTACTCCAAAACCACAAATAATGGGGGTCTCCTTACCTTTGGGTGTCAGTAATGCACCACCAAGCCCAGGCCCAGCCTCCGTATACGTACTGCTTTACATCAGAGCCACAGCAGCCACCTGCAGCGCAGCAGAAAGCACAGAGATGTAGGGATTACACATCCACACGGCGTTCTCAGCCAGGGAAAAACCTGCACCCAGACTGAGTCACCAGCAGAAAAACTTGGTAACAAGGCTGCCCAGCCTCTGGGTGCTGAGGAAAAGGCACCCTGGGGGGTCATCGGTTCCCCCAGGCCCTGGGAGCAGGGGAAGCACCTCAACTTGGCCACGTTACAGCAACGGGTGCTACCAAGCCAAGCTCTGCAGCACAACCCTGAAGACTCCAAGCGTGCCTGGAGTGTCTGACAAATAATGAACACAGAAAACTCTTTCCAAGACCCACAGCAGCCCCAGAGCACCCTTCAGTCAGCCATAACACAGTTAGCCATTGGGGAACCCGATGCTCTTCCTCACCTCCACGGGCTTCACATGGCAATTTTCCAAAGGCAACCTTTTTTTTTTTTTTTAGAATTGTCTTATAAAATAGCATTTGTAATCATTCAGTATGATGAACAATAACACACAGAAAGCAACTGTATTTCAAACCAGGATTTATTTTAGTTTTGTTAAGCAGTTTAAGCACTTTTAGCAGCCAGAATTGTTGTAAGTACATGCTTCAATATCTTTAATTGTGATGCACCAACTCCGCTGTGGAAAACCATGTGAGAAACCTATTTCCCTTCCCTCTCCCCACACTGCAAACAACCCTTAAACCCACCAAAAAGCTAGCAGGTTGGCATTGGAGGAGGAAATAACCCTTGAGCTCCTCAAAAATATCTCCTAGTTCTGGGTCGTGCAAGTACTACAGTGCGTAGAGGCTTTGATGGTCCATCACAGAGCTGGCTGTGCCCAGAGCTCAGGCAGCCTCCAGAACTCCTCTGACACATTTAAGATTTTACCCCAGTAAAGCTGGAAGATGCTGTCTGGATTTTCGTATCTTTGATTCGAGGAAGAAGACGATGTCTGCCACCTTTCAAGAGAGCACCCTGCCAGCGACCAGCCCTAGGTTTCATGCCTGGCAAGGGAGGAGCTCTGCAGCTCCCCAGCTCTCCGGCGCATCAAGCCAGCAGTCCCTCCCTAGCCTGTTATCCATAATCACACTTATTACAGCAGCGCCCGAGGGCCTCGGCAAGGCAACCGCTGTTACCAACAGAGCAACGGACAGTTTCAGCCCTGCGGGACGTATCTACGCAGGCAAGACAGAGCCAGCACAGAGGAAGAGCAGGCAGGCAGGGAAAACGGCACGGCTGCAACACCGTGGGAGCTTCAAGTTGAGGGGGGGGTAAAGGGAGAACTATGAAGCCAGCAGACGGCTGTCTTCTGCGGCTGCTCTTTCAAGAGAAATTCTGATTAGTAAGTTCGCCGCAGTAAGTCAAAAATGAAGAAGCAAGGGCAGCACCCATCCAGGCCAGCATGCCAGCAGGGCCCTCTGGTCTGCAGGGGGGGACTCCGTCCTCCTCCTCTCCATCCTCAAGTGTTTGGCCATCTTCTGCCATCAGCTAAAGACACCATCTGCTTCGCTGGCTTCCATGCAATGCTTGATAAACCAGCAGATCGGCCCCACCTACAATTCTTCACTCTCCCATTTCAGTAGGAAGTAAACACAAATAGGAGATGGATTTACACATTTTTTTTTTTTTCAGGTCTCCTGTGCTCCTCAGCCTAGAGGAATATTCTCCAGTCACCTCTGAGACAGCTTCTTCCTGCGGCTGAAAGGCTATTTCAGCCAGGCAAGGAGTTACAGAAGCTGATGATACGATATCCTGCAGCACATTAACCGCAACGCCTTTTAGCATTTCTTGGAGGACATCAGCCTGGTTAGCTCAGCCTTTTAGCCAGGCCCTTGTTTTCCAAGAACAGGAAGGGAGGTGTTCCTGGCAGTCGGGAAAAGCAGCTCCACATGGAAAGGTATTTTATTTCACAGGGTCTACGTGGTCTTTACCGAACCTCCAATAATTGTTTTGTAATATTGTTCTGAGAAAACTCTGCATGTTAAACCACCATTGTTACAAGAATGTGCCTCTCCACACAAATGTTTCTTTTCTTCTGCTGGAATTGCAAGGAAATACCTTATTTAGTATCACACCCAAAGCAAGCCCCATGTTTGCTTCCCAGTACTACACAACACTGCTGCATAGCAGAGTTTACTAAACTAGATTATATGTCAAAAAGTGTTCAAAGCATAATAAAACCAGGGAAAACTAGCACATTAAACAGGAATGGGATGCCAGCTGGTTGCTTTCATGCAAGCTGGACGTCTGAGCGCAGCAGAGCTCCGTCCTGGTAACGCAAGTCAGATGAGCTGAACGCTCATTTTCCATTGCAGTCCTGCAGCCTCCTTCCCAAGTCTCAGAGAGCAAGTGAAAAAGGAACCAACAAAGCGAAATCTTTGCAAGGCTAAAGAATAAACCCTCTTGCACAGTGAGATTTGGCAGAGAAATTGCCTTTTCTAGCTATAATACACCCACTGTTCTAGCAGCCCGGGTCTCACAGCCGCTTGGCCATCGCTTCCACAAACATCCACCGTGCCTCTTCCGGGGCAGTGCGCGGCGGCCAGGCACACCACAAACGGAGGATTCATAGCCGGGAAGCTGCCACCCAGTTTGGCCTCTTCCCAAAGGAAGGGGGGTCCCATGTTCAAGCAAGAATTCCCAGAGCCAGGAGAAAGAACATTGTCCGGTGGCTTGTTTTGGTTTGTTGTTATTTTTGTTGTTGTTTGTTTTATGAAATGAGATTAATCGCTTGGGAGTTTGTAGATAAATGGAGCTCTCAGCAGATGCAGAAAGCTGCTGCCCTGATGGACGGCATGCAAGGAAGAACAGAAGCCCCAGCAGTTACAGGGGCACGGGGCTCAAAACATCAAAGCTAGGACAATTTGAGGTTGCAAACAAGCTCTGTGTTGTTTGCTCTCCCAAGGTATCTTGAGGCAACGAGTTTGTATTCTGGCAGGAAGCGGTGAGCGTTCAGAAATCAGGTTGCGGTAAACAGGCTGCTAAGATACCTGAGGGTAACTACACTCCTTCCCGAAGACTGTCGCAGGCTGAAGACAAGACCAGAGCAGACACTGCAACCTTCACCTACAGAGAACTGTCACCTTCACACCTCGGTTCAGGGCACTGTGGTGCTGGAGTCTCCTCCTCCAGAAGGACCCACCACCCAACTTGGGGATAAACTGCTCGGTACAGCCGGACAGAAGCCGGGTCTGTTAGAGGAACGGCCCTGTGCTGGGAAATGTCATGGGGTGCTAACAAGTGAGTGCAGAAAGACAAGGAAAAAAAATTGATAATTGAAAACAGTTACTGACAAAAGGCATAGTGGAGAGGAAAGAAGGCGGCAAAGGCATACATAAAGAAAATCACATAATAAAGCAGAGTCTAGACTAAAGTCAGTGTCTGGTTCTTAGGCCCTGCTGTGCC